GCATGGAGCCTTGACATACGGATCTTCATCGCCGCGAGGTCCAAAAGCACAAGTCAACCAACTAGAGGCCAAGTCAGCACCCCTGCGGCGCAGAGCATCAAAGAAGGCCACATCTGTTTCCAATGTCCCTGAGAAACGGCCACATGACCACTGCAAGGAACCTGAGACAGTAGATTGGAATTGGAATCGCGTCCCGCTATACCCACAAACCGGGTCGGCCAACTCAGCAAAGAAAGCTGTTTGAGTGCCACGGAGCATAATTGGAAGCGACGCGCACTAGCCGACCTGCAGCCTTGCGGAGCGCAACAGAGCAAATGTCACTCGAACCGTCCTGGAGCGAAGCTGCGGAGTACCTGCGATGCACAAGTGTGGCTTCGCCATATCTGCAAAAGTCCGTTGAGGCCCCCTGCAGAAAACCTGCCATACATCTTGACGAAGAACACGTGACACGCGATGCTTGCTAGACTCGGGGACGCGGTGCTCCTGAACCAGAGCAACGTCGTCTTATTGGCAGCAGCAGGTCGACGGAGAACCCTCGGCCGCTGCAACTTGCCCTGCCTCCTTCTGCTTGAGTTTCCTCAAACTACTCTTGGAACCGGACAGCTCACACTGTTCTTTGCAAGCAGCCTTAGCAGCCTTGCGCCAGGCTTAGACAACGGCGATCCTCGCAGCTTCACTGCACAACAGCACGGCCCTGACCCGCCTCAGACTCGGGGCAGATGGACTGCGGGAGCAGCGACGGCATGTTGATCTTCCCACACCGCTTACGAACACACTGCCTGCCGGTTTGATCAATGCCTTTCCGACAGCCCTTCTCAAGCACAGCCGTCCGCGCCGGCCAAGAAGAGGGCTCGGTCGAGTGGACTTCGAGGTCGTGAGTCCAAGTGGCCTTGGGAGCACGCAGCACGCACCACGGCGATCCTGCGAAAGAGCTGAACGGCGACTTGACCTCTCGGCGGCTTCTTCGCGAGTGGCAAACATGCTCATCATCCTCGGCACGTAGAGCTAAATGCAGTGGACACACCGGAGCCAATGATCTCGTCGAGCTTGGACCTTCCCGCCACAGCAAGCATTGGACGTAGCCAGGCCGGCTTCCTCGACGTGCTATGAGAAGCACCTGCAAGCGAAGCACGAGGAGTATCCTCGCCCTGAAGTCGGTGGCGGACCGAATTAAGGGCCGTTCCACACGAAGACCTGCCACTAGCGTGAAGACCGAAACGAGGGCCCTCGAGCATGTTGCCCCATCAACCGCTCGCAGAATCATGGCCCTTTAGCCTTCGTAACGCCGTAGTAACGCCGCGGGTGATAGCGCAAGGAAAATTCGGCCTCTCTTGCCCGTTTGGATTGAAATCATATGGACCATCTTTCGTGACGACCCGCGATCATGACGCGCAAAGTGTTGGCAACAACCGTTTAGTTTTGTCTCCAAGGCACTGCCGCACGCACCCTCCAACGCAACCTTGTCAAGACAGCGCCCGAAGTCGTCCATTTCCGTCTCATGCTCATCCGGAGAACGCTGTCCGAGACCCCTTCGCAAGCATCACGATACTTGCGCACATGCGCCACAGCACAGGCCCTCAAAACAGCCTGGATCAAGCCAAAAGCATCGCAAAGAGCAAGGTTAAGACAGTTAGTCCAGTGTTGGGAACCGGTTCCATGCCGGCTGGCACAGCGGGGTCGAGAGTCTTGAGCTTTTCTTAGCTGCCGATGCGACGCTGGCCTCGATCGCCAGGTGGTTTGTGAGGATCACCGCCCCGGTCCCTCTCTTGCTCAGTGGGGTTTGCTGCGCTCTCCAACTGCGCCTGTGAGAGAAATCTTCTGCTCGCGTGGCCTTGAGCGCACACGTAACAGCATTCCTCTACTCAAACTGCTCAACCAGCTCGACATCGAGAAATTCCAGCCTTTTCAGGAAGCAGGCGGACGTCATCCGCCGCCGTCTCGAATGAGGCACACAGAATTTTCACAAACGACGGCGCTGAGTGGACTGTGCATCCTTGGAACCTCTAGCTTTCCTGACGCCAACTTGCCGTTGGCCCAGCAGCACAACTCCTTTCCGATGAGCTCCCACCCCCAGGAATCTCGAAGAGCGGGGGAGATCTTGCCATCGACGGCCGCAGGACCCTTGACAACCTCATCCCACTGACTAGCCGCAACTAGTCAAACCACGACGCGTCATGCGCCTCTTCAACACACAACGGAACTCATCTTTGCAGTACATGGAGCCTAGCTCAATGGCCATGCCCAGCACCTTGGGCGAAAGCGATGGTCGCCGCGAGTCGAGCTGAATCTCTGGACAAGTCGCAGCCCAGAACGGAAACGCACAGGAATAGACCGCCTATCCGGGTTGACACCCGAGACTTCGTCTCCTCAGCAAAGCCGTCATGTAAAATCAACAGTACCTCGATCGCGGCATGCGCCCCTAAGAGCTCCCAGAGCGTCTGCCTGATCAGCTGTTCGAGCTCGGCAGCAGAGTCACTACAGGGCCCGTCCAATCTGACGAATTGCACCTCGGATCCCCAGCTCTTGTTCAGGAGCCTCGCCCTTTTTCTTAGCGCCTATTGCGGCAGACCTGAACCCATGAACTTTGCTGTTCATCTGACGAAGGTGCAGCAGTGGAGGACGGAGCACTCTTGCCATGACCCCTCCCGAGGCTTTTGTCGCCTCCTTGTCCCTTGGTTTAGTAGCCGGATCGAGGGTGAGCCTCCCTCATACTTCTGCGAACCCAAGCTGGCGGAGACATGGAACCCGGGCGCTCAGTGATCACTCCACTCTCTCCGCTCAGACCTGCCTTCACTGCCTGATGGATCATCTGTTCCATCATCTTGCCAATCGTGCCCGAGTTGGAATCAAACATGCCGGTGATGAGGTTCAAGTCGCCAAGTCGCAGAACGCCCCTCAATGACGCCCCTGCTAACTGGTAGAAGACACCCCGTCGTCGCCGCCATTCGCCACCAGAAGGCCAACGCCCTTCGTGTAGAAGATGCCCAAGTCGTAACCAACAGCCACCGGCGAGAGGATGTGACAGCAGATCGCCGGAGTCCTCGCCATTCGCATCGAATCCATGGTCGCATTGCAAAGAACGGGCACTTATGTCACTTATGTCACTATAATGTAAGGCTGCGACGGCTACTGTGACCACCGTCGGTATAGCCAGACCCTTAACCAGAAAACCCGAAACCGGCACTACCATCTTCTCTTTGGCAATGCACACCAACCGAGCGTGAGCCCACGAGGCAGGGAATCTGGTCGAAGGCAGTGAACAACATGGCCAAACGATGCAAGTGCTCATCAGCAAGCGAACCGAACTGGTGGAAGGACAAAGAGCCATCAAGCCCCACGGCAGACAAGCGAACCTGTGCCCGTACATCAGGAACAGTCCAGGGGCGGGGTGAAGGGAACGCGCAGACTCTAAACTGGACAGGGGTAGTCGCAGCGAGGGTCCGGACTTCATGCTTGGCAGATTGAGCCTCAGTCCAGTGAGGAAGCCAAGCTCTGCGGATTGCTTCGCCCTGTTCATGGGGAGTACTAGCCGGAGTGCCATCCGCCTGCAGAAGGTACAAAGGCTTGGAAGGATCTTGCTTGACCCATTTTGACGCCAACGCGACCTCCCGCATTCGAACTTTCCAGTTTTAGCGCCTCTCGCCTACGAAGCGTCAAAGCTTCTTGCAGTTTGGTTTGCTACCGGGTGTGGCTTTCGGAATCCCAACCCGTATAACAGTGGCATTGGCGCACTGCTGAAGCATTAAATCCATGAGTTCGAAAACTTCATCGCGATCCCGAGGCAAAACCGAGCAGTTGGCTTGCCCGAACGGCGATTCCTCTCCACTGAGGCCAAACGCACGCTTCGAGCCAAAGACTCCAAGCTTCAATGAGGCTTGTTTTGGGCGACCTTCAAAGGCAAGCGTGGGATCATCTTGGGGTTCGCCTACATAAAATCGACATGATCTCCGAGGGCGCGCAGTCAGACCGAATGCTTCGTCAAAATCTCTTGTGATGCGCAATCATCGAGAGAGACCCTAACGAGGTCCAGTTTCGGCAGAGTCCATATCCATGTCGCCATCACTAGGTTCAAAGCCCAAGGGCGGATCTCCTTGAGGTAATCCACGCTGGCGGCTGGCACGAATCGTGATGCCTGTAGGACCGTCCGGCGTCCACACGTGCCGCTCCAGCCGCTCCCATAAATCCACACGTGTCTCCCGCCACAATTGAGTCTGCTCGTGGTAGGCGTTGGCCGAATGCACAGCAGGTGGAGCGCCCCCTCGGCCGCCAATCAGCTCCGGCGACAGCCACGCAGAAGCCCAATGGCCGAGCAAGGAAGCAGATCTGGCCGCCCAGAGGCAGTACGCAACTTGCATGACTGTCAGAGGCCGAACATCCCTCGACTCCTTTGGAGTGCAAACAAGCCGCGCAGCATGCCACGCCTGAGGAAACTGCATCCCAGCACCCAGTTCAGAATACAAAGCAGCAAGCCTCTCCAAATGGACATCTGGAAGATCACGGTAGTGTTGAAAGGAAAGACCATCCAGGCCCGCTGCACTGCTGCGAATCTGAGCGCAGATATCGACAACAGTCCATGGCGGCCCAGGAAACTCAAAGGGTTCGTGAAGCCAGACCTTCTGCCAAGACGTCAGCAGCCGACACACCCGCCGCAACAGCTGCCGGACTTCTCTCCGACCACCGAGGCAGCCACGTCCCCTTGCTCGGAAGGAGTGATGGCAAGAAACCCATCCTTGTTGAAAAGCCTAAAAGGTCTAGCAGGAGCAGACTTAACCCACTTAGAAGCCAAGCTAAGGTCACGAACACGAGCCTTCCAATCGTTGATGCAGCATCCTGTTCCTCAACAGCATCTTGACGATGAGCCGCCCACTCACGCAGCACCTTCACGAAGTAGCACTGCAAAGCTTGGATTTGAGCGTCCGCGAAACCACCGTTGAACGTGACTACACCAGTCTGTCGCATGCACTGAGGCAGACAGTCAGGAAGAGCTGCAGCAGGAACTCCTCCCGAAAACCATGGCTGCCGTCCAATCAGCTGACAGCTCTCGTCGCGCAGCGTCATTGGCTCTGCAAGACCATAAGAAATGATCGGTGTGCTCGTCATCGAGGCCACAGCGCCGGCAGCGCGCATCAGCCACTTTAGATGCTTTGAACAGACGGTGTCTGCTCCACAGCGCGTCCGCGAGGAAGCGGGCGTAGCGAGCACCTAAGTCAGAGCCGTCCCACCCGAAGGTGCGACGACGGCATCCCAGCTCGATCAGCGGCTGCAACGTGCGCCGTCTGTCGATACCTGAAGACAAGCCCTCATGACAAATCCTACTGCCATCCCAATGAGACCACCACCACGAACGCAGTTCATTGCGAAGCACATGCCTCGCTGTCTGTCCTACCCGATCTTTGCGCGCCAGGTCGGTCAAACTGATCGAGCAATCCTCTCGAGAACAAACATGCTCCCAATCCGGCCACGACCAGCCCAAAAGCTTCAGAACGTGACGAACCAACCTGGCAAAACCGACACTCTTACCTCTAAGTCTAGAACAGGCCCGCCAAAGGGCTCTGACGACAGGATGACTACGTGCAGAGAGACGCACAAGTGCAACAACTGCAGAGTAGCACTGAATCATGCTGGGGTCCATACGGTGCAAGGGCGCCAGCAGGCCCAAGGTCAAAGCTGTGCTTCTCATGTAATTATGAGGATGCATGGTCGGTCCCCACCACGCTTGAACTACGGCCGTCCTAAGCTTATCAATGACCAGCTGAGACACAGGCGTACCCTCAGCGTACAGACCTTTCAGGTATGCTGCAAGCAGGCCCCTTCGTACCTCAGGATTAGGAAGGAGGCGAGCACGGAGCATCTTGGAGCGCACCACTGTGGCTCTATGATCCCCTAGTGCGCAGTCAGAGCCGTTTCGAGCATGACACCGAGGTACTTGGCAGACTCTTTGAGTGGAGACGACGCCACTCAGCGGCAGAACCATCATCTTGAGCTGGCTCCACGAAGAATCTGCAAGACTTCAATGGATGAATGCTCAAACCAAAAGCTGCATCGAAGACTGTCGTGCAACGAAGCGCCGATGCGAGCGTGCCCACATCTTTATGCAAGAGGCATCTGTCATCCAAGAAAACACGAAGCAGATCAAGCTTGGGGAGGCTCCACACCCAAGCAGCCATGACCAGATTCAGTGCCCACGGGGCAAGAGGGTCACCTTGCGGCAGCCCCTTCTGCACCGTAGCCTTGATGGTGACGCCGGTGGGTCCATCGATGGTCCACACATATCTCGTAAGAGACTGCCAGATGTTCAAGACATTGAACATGCAAAAAGGAGCCCCCGCGCCTCGCAGCAGAACTCTGAGACTCAGCAGGCTCACAGAATCAAAACACTTCCTCGTGTCAAGACTGGCACCAGCCAAAAATGTACCATCGCCATACGCGGCAGCAAGCCAGGAGGAAACCTCGTTCCCCGTGACGACAGCAGGAGGGCCTCCACTGCCACCACCCACGAGCTCATCAGGAAACCAGGAGCACCACTCGCTCAAATGCTTCACAGTACGGGCCGCCCACATTCTGTAAACAGTATGCAAGATGGACAAAGGCCGTGCCGAACCATCGTCTTTTGCAATACAGATCAGACGAGCAGTGTTCCATGAAGTCGGAAAGGGAAGCCAATTGTCAAACGCATTGAACAAGGCAGCAAGCCGCTGAAGATGCTCATCTTCCAGATCGCCGATGTGGTGGAAGGTAATCCCATCAAGACCAGCCGACGTGGAACGAACCTGTGCTCGAATGTCCTGAACCTGAGCGGGAGAAGCCTCAGTCCAAAACGGCAACCACTCTCTTCTGACAGCCTGGCCTTGTTCAGTCGGAGTGAGAGCAGGATTTCCGTCCTCCCTCAGTAAGCTCAAGGTTTGGTGGGGCCCTGCTTAACCCATTGGAAGCCTTAGAAAGGTCCCGCATTCGGATTTTCCAGGCCGCGATGGCGCTGCGCCGACGCTCGTTAAGAGAGCTTTTCAGCTCAACCTCAGTGGCTTCATACTGGGCATGCTTCTGGTGCATCCAACCCGTAGCAGAAGCTAAAGCAGAGAGGCGCCTCAATCCATTCATGAGGGCCAAAACCGCATCGGCGTCCTTAGCGCGACCGCGCCCTTGGCGGTTCTGTAAGGAAGCTCGTGACCCGTCACAAGCCGAGTGCACAGCCAAGCCATGTGCTCCACGCAGCTTGCGAATCGTTGCGCGCAATGGCATCGTGAAAAGCAGCATCGTCTGAGGCAGACCAATTTAAGGGCGTGACACTGGTCTGGGAAGAGCCCAGGCTAGACGGTCCTCCGCATGAAGTTTACCAGGAACATCACAGATGACGGGCGCATGCTGCGAAGTAACCTCATCATGAAGACCAACGATGTTGGCAGGCTTGAGGCTCCCACACCCTACAAGCCCATCAATCGGATTACACCAAGAGTGTTTGACAGAGCTACGCCACGTGCCAAGCGCGGTGTGGCCAAAATGTCCCGAGCAAGGGTGGGTATCAAGAAGATTGGAATTGAAATCACCACCCGAAAACCAAACACCCGGCTTGTCTTGCCACATGGCCAACTCTCCAAAAAAAAAACTTCTTGCGGACCACGCTTTTTGATGGGAGCATACACGCGAGCGAGCAAGGTCACCCCCCGCCAGCCTCAGGGCAACAGAGCATAGTTGATCAGAATCCTGCAGCGAACAGCAGAGTATCGGCGATGAACTAAGATCATCTCACCAAACCCGCAAGCCCGAGGAGGTCCGAAGAAGGCCTGCCAACCAGCGGACCTGCGGTCCCTAGCAGTTCTGGCTTGTGCCTCGGGTTTCACACGATGTTCCTGCAGCAGACAAACACCCACGTCATACTTATGCAAAGGCAGAAGAAGCAAATCCTTTGGGGTGTTTAAGCTCCCAAGATTCCACGAAAAGAAGCGAATGCTGCGAGGGCCCGGGTTGGACGCCTCGCCCAGACGACATTCGTGGGTCCAAGCCATCCACGCGACAGCAGCCTGGACCCCGTTTCTTCAGAGCTTACACAAGCGCTTCTGGCGGCCAGCGGGCTTCTTAAGGACTTTAGCTAACTTGCGAGCTGTTCCCTTGCTCCCTCCAGGCACTGGCCGCCTGACTGCGAACCTTCTTACTGGGCTTAGGCGCATCCCCCAGGCCAGCCTTCGATTGCGGGCAGATGTTGCGCATAAGTTCACCAGCAGAATTTTCATGGTCACGCTTCGTGCACCTACACCACCGCGACACCCCGCCAAGCCCTTTACGGGAGCCTTTCACGGCAGAACGACCTGGCCACGAAGAAGGCCGTACTTCTTTCACCTCAATGTCATGAGCTTATGAAAGGCCAACAACCCTCAACAGGGAAAGCTTGCGAGCCAGGACCTGGGTGGCAACTTGGTTCCTTAGCGGGAGTTGGTTGCTGGCAAGAGCAGCAGGTCTGCGAACGTAAGGCTCCATGCAGTGGATGCACTCTGCCCAATGCTTACGGCGCTGAACCCCTGGCATGGGATCCTCCGGATAGCGTGCCGCAGGCACCCTCCATCCGCACTGACACCTGGTTAGTGGTCTTGAAGCCCGCACCAGGAATGCTCCGTTGAAGCTGAGCCTTTTCGTCCGTGAGAGCATGAAGGACGGACTCATCCCGGGAGAAGCTCTCGCCCTTGCGCAATCGCATCCAAATGACCTTAGCCTTGCGAGATCCCGCGGCAGGCAACCATTGGAAACTTGCAAATCATTTTTTTTTGAAAAAATGACATCTAAAGTGACATCCAAAAGTGTTTTTTTAAAGGTACCAGTCATCTGTCCTGAAAAATGATAAAAAAGGTGATTTCAAAGTGATCTAGGCATTCGGAAAGAAGTGAAATGTGGCCGGGTGTTTTCTGAAAACCAAGTGATCTTACAGATTTCTAAAACGTAAAAAAACGAGCGAATTGCAAGTGATGTTTTTCGTGCTGGTGATAAGGATCTGATGGGAGACATCGGAGAAGTGAAATACAAGTGATTTTATCCGCACGTGTGAAAACGAAAGGATCGGCCATAACAAACAGTGCAAATTTTCTAGAAGTGATTTGTCGCGCATGCAAAAACGAATAGAGAAGCACGGCCCAGTCAAATTCTCATTTGCAAAATCACATTGAAATCACTTTTCCAGGCCTAGAATCACTAGGAAATCACTTTTCCAGGCCTAAAGTCGAATTGAAATCACTTTTCCAGGCCTAAAATCACCTTGAAATTACTTTTCCGGCCTAGAATCCTAGAATCATTTTGAAATCACTTTTCCAGGCCTAGAGTCGAATTGAAATCACCTTTTCCAGGCCTAGAATCACTTTGAAATCACTTTTCCAGGCCTAGAATCACTTTGAAATCACTTTTCCAGGCCTAGAGTCGAATTGAAATCACTTTTCCAGGCCTAAAATCACTTTGAAATCACTTTTACAGGGCCTAGAATCACTTTGAAATTACTTTTCCAGGCCTAGAATCGAATTGAGATCACTTTGCAAGTGCTTTCCGAATCATTTTCAAAATCACCTTTCAAATCACTTTTCAAATTTGCGCTGCAATCGTTTTTCGAATCACTTAAAATTCACTTTCCAAATCACTTTTAAGATCACTTTTGCGACCAGCCCGTAATCACTCTAAAGTCACTTTTCGAGTGACCATTTCACTTTTGCGAATGCCACAAACCCCTTTTTCATGTCACTTAAGTTGCCGGAGCACGAAAATCCAAATCAAATCCAAATCACTTTTTCAAATCACTTTTATTTCGCTTACCTTTGCAGCGAATTTTTCCTGCAAACCATCCCAACGGTTGCCTGACCAGGACCTCCCAACCTTAGCCTGGTTAGCCTCGTCAAACCTTTTGCGCTCGCACTTCTTGAGGAACTCCGTGGCTCTCCCCAGCCGTCTCCTCAACTTGGAGATCTTAATCGGCTCAACCGCCTTAGAGACAGCGACAGGGCGCAGCTGATGATTGGGCAACGCTGTTTTCCACGGAGAGGAGCGAAGCCAGGCTTCGATCCGGCAGATCTCGTTATAGGATCGGCCCAGGCGGGAACGTTCTGGATGGCGAGGTAAGTCGCGACATGGAAGAGCGCGGAAAGTTTCGCCATAAGCACCAACCACTGAAGATCGACTTGCTGTTGAGGATGCGAGCCAATGAAACCACCGTCGAGTGACTTAGCATGACAAAAAGCCTCCTTCCACCCGTCATCTTCACATGATTTCCACGCGACTTCCAGCATGGACTTCCAGGAGGCCGAAGAGAGCCAAGAAGGCTTATCCCAGGTAGGAGGCCGCTGAAGCGCGCCGGTGGAACACTGAGGAATGGACAATGACAGCTCGCAAATCTTGTGATCACCATATCATCTTCTCGCCCCTAACCGACATGGGGTCGCACGCGATGCGCTTAGAAGCCATGAAGAAGTCAATGACCTTGGAGCCCTCAAAACGAGTAGACTCGAGTAGACATGACCTCCGGCTTGCAAGCAACACACCTGCCTCCCAGAACCTCGGCAACATCGCTGATGCCACACCCGTCAGAGGAAGCGTTGAAGTTGCCCGCAATGACCCACGGACCACGCCACCTTTCCGTGATGAGAAGACTGAGCCCAGCAAGCGCCTGTTCATTGTCTGCCCCAGGGGACAAATAAACTGAGGCAAACAAGGTGCGCTGCGCCTGAACGGCCATCCACTGATGCGCCGCCTCAGCCTCCCAATGAGAGTCACGCAACATCCGAAATTCTTGCACCATCAGAATGTCCGGCTGGAAAGCCGTGCCATCATCCTTAACGCCGATGAAATCCACGAGCCGCCATGCCCCATGTCTCGCACCGACATTGATGCTGGCCCGTCCGAGGCCCTCGGAAGCATGGTGACGGCCACCACGACCTCCCCGAAAGCTGCATGCCAAGTGCTCGAGCCCTTGAGGGAGTCACGCCTCAGCATTGGCACGCTTGCTCTTGACCCTACTAAGCTGGTTGCCGCCATAGCTGTGCATCCACATTTGCAGGCTTATCGCAGCATCCGGTGGGTGGGCTTCATGCGAAGGGCACCGGCTTCATGCACCCCCCACCAGTTGCCCGCCCCAGAGCCAGACCGAGATTTCAGCCTCGTCATAATTGATCTTAATGTCGTGGCAGCCAGCGTTGAGCACTCCATAGTCGATACATCTTTCGCCCTGCCATCTGGATGGCACCAGCGAGAGATCAGAGTCACGAACAGCAATACACCCAGCGCCTGCCTGGCTGAGTGGAGCGTCTTCCATGCAGCGCCAAAACCTGTAGCACGTCGCTTCGCCGTCGACACACTATTTTCAGCTTGTTCCTGTTTTCAAGGAGGCCCAACTTGATACACCGGTGTTTCCAGCGATCCAAATATCTCTTGGCCTGCCGCGCTGCGGTCATCCAGGAAGGTGGCTTGGGTCACTGGATCACAGACGGTGTGCAAGGTTTGAACATCACGCGTTGCTTTGACGAGCAAGCTGACCAGAGCCAAGGGCGCACAGGCACATCCTTGCGGCAGAGAGCTGCTCACTGACGTGTGCCTTTGTGCAGAATAGCGTCCTATCGGATCCATCTCTGTTGGTCTTTCCAGACTCAAGTCAGGAGGTTTGCCCACATGTTCGGGAAACCTGCATGTGTCAAGTGAGCACATGGGGCCGATTGCGTAGAGCGCTCTCCCGCAACAACTGGAGGGCTCGGTAAGTGCCAGACCGCCAGCATTGGGCATTGTTCCACATAATGCTGATGTCACGTTTAGGGCTTGCCGGCATTGCGCTTAGTGAAAGGCCGGCGCGGCTTGGGCTTGGGCCGCTTTTGCAGTCCATGTTTTGGATCTCCTCCTGAGTCATGGCCAGGCTCTGAGCGAAACTCGAAATCCTGTGAGGGAGTTTACGCTTCAGCAACTTCCACCGCTTCTGCCTGCGAGCAAGACTTTATCCACGCCGCTGCTGACCGGGACATCGGTGATACAGCTTCTGCGGCGAAAGTTCCACGTCTTGGCGCAGGTCTCACACGCCCACAGCTCCATGATTTTGGGCGCCGCGTCACGGGGGTGAACGAAAGATTGGATCTTATGGGCCTCCGGCGATGTCTCACTCTCA